TTTGGGTCATGTGATGGTCTTAAGAGGTCTCAACTACAGCACTGATCTTAAAGACTTAAAAAGGGTTTTTCTCTCTTCCACCTCAGTCATTTTTGACAAGTTAACCACACTTGTGAGAGCAATGATCACTTCTTTAAAACAGCATTTTGTAAATTCGAAGTAAAAGTATTTTATAAATTTTGTAATTTTGCAATCACTTTTTAATTAATTTCTTCCATGTGTGGTCAAGGTTTATAAGTACGTGTACATCTGATTTGTCACTAATGCCTTGATTGTGTTTAAGGAAACAGGCTATTTTGATATACCAAGCAAGTTGCGGCCCCACTCCCACCCCTCGTCCTAAGCCCCGCCCCCACACAATGCCTCTCCTACTCCAGAACTAAAGTTGTGAATAAGCTGTTGACTAAATAAATAGTTCAAATTCTGAATTATGAGTTACAAATGTTTGCTGAAGGAGAGAAGCTTTGCAAGCAAGTCAGAAAGAGGACAAGAGAAAGATCATTCACTGAAGCTAGCCATTGGTGACACCTCTTCATATGTACCGTTTCTCCCACCCACTCAACACCACCATTCCACCCTACCCAACCCCTAATGGTAGATTCCGGCACATGCAGCGATACAGTCTGGAAATACTATGCATTTATTTTGGGGGGATGTTAGTTATCAAGGAGCAATTGGTTTACACTGCCAATTTTCTGAAACCTTTTCTTTCCCTAGCTCTTTTTCTTTTATTTGTCGATACCAAACGAGGTTTCAGCACAGACAAACAGAAGTACAAAGTTTGCACAAGACACCTTTCAGTGCCAACTCGCAACAAATTTTTTTTTTAATTGTTTTTAAAAGTTTTGATGAAAAGTGTACAAAAGTGGAGAGTGACAACAATGTGACCAGTAAAAAAATCCCTGTCTCAGTTTCTCGATAGAGAAAGTTGACTGCATCAACGTCAATGTTGACATGTATTTCTATTGACTCTTCCGGGTATATGAGTTTTTAATATGTGTCTACTGTTTTACCTTTCTGCTTGTGCACGATATAAAAATTTTACTTCAGAGGTAATTGTATGATAATGGGTGCTGTATTTATGGACTGTCAAATTATGTAAAATGAAATCCAAAATATTAATGAATTTTTATGTTTCGTGATCTCAAATAAATTGAATGTGAAGGAAAAGCAAATAATTATGAGTTTTGTGTACCGATAAGAGTTTCAGCATTTTTTTTTTTCTTTGTTTCGCACAAATTTTGATCTTGATTGAACATCTTTATGCAGTTACAAATTCTGTAAAGAATTCTTGATAAAAACTCGGAAGTGCATAGTGTAGTGCTTTTGGGGGAAAAAAATTCGTCCCACGTTTCTCCAATGCCAAGAGAGGGCGCCTTCACCTATTTATGGATATAGACTGGTTCCTGCTGTCAGCACGGTCAGAAACTATAACTTCTGATTGATTGCGAGTTCGTTGTGTGATGTACATATACGATATGATCAGGCTAGGCCTAGGCGTCACTATGCAGGTAGGCAACATCGCAGCCGGAAGGGGGCAACGAATTCGTTTGAACAGGCTTGAATAGAAGCTAGAATCGCAGCTGCGAGAGGGTTTCTTGAAAGGAGAGTCGGACATTTCGATAGGCATGATTGGGGGAACTTTGACCTTGTACCTGGCACAATGATTAACGTTAGTCTCCTCTCAAGACGAGCAGTAGGCTTCCTAAAACCACTTTCCCATTGGAACGTACAGGGTGTTTCCCCAGACAGTCGCTCAATGAAAAAGTATTGCTACCTGGAAATAAAAGATCGCTTCCGGTTTACTCCAGTACAAACTATCAAATCTGTTTGTCGACGTAGGCCTAGTCTACCCTTTTCATCGACTCCAATAGTTTCATTGAAGGTTTGTTCATTACAGTTTAAGGTCTACAGAATAAAATAAATGGAAAGAGTTCCATATATGGACAATGCTTGATACCTCTGTGTACAAAGCTCTTAGACTTACCTGAAAAAGCCAAGAATTTTCATAGTAAATGTTTGGGACTTTTTTCAGCTAAATTTCTTTTTTGTTACATGTTATCACTTTCTGATGGCTGTCATAACATTGAAGGGAAAATTATTGTTGTTGGTATGTGGAAATCTTTCCAAATAAATGATACTTGGTCCTTACGGCCTATAATTGTACACTTACATCAGGATCAAAAGGCTAGGAGTGGCGCCAGTCGGACTACGGTTGTCTTTTGATATCATATCTGTAAAAAAGGTCAAAGGTTTGTTCACCAACATGAATGTTGTACCCAAACAGTGAACTGGGGGAGGGATGTATTTGATAAACTATCTCTCGTACCCGTCTGCTCAAAGGACAGACTGTTTTTGCCTTTCTTACGCAGGTTGTTTCACCTGCAATGGCAAACAGTTGCAAGAATGACGACGTCCCACCAATGCTTGGTCCGAACAGTGCTCTACGAGACCCTTGCCCCACAGTTCCCCATGTAGTGCTCAATAAGGAGATGATTGGCAGCAAACAAGTCTTTGTTATTGGAGATGTCCACGGTTGCTACGACGAACTCCAAGAACTGCTGGATAAGGCAGGAATTGGAACCGTCAATCCTAACGTCATCGTCGTCTTCGTTGGAGACCTCATCAATAAGGGGCCTAAGAATGGAGAGGTCCTGGCTCTGGTGCGTCGCTTGGGAGCTTATTCAGTCCGTGGAAATCATGACCAGAAATGCGTTAGTAAGATGATGTTCATGCGACAAGGCGGAAGGGTTGAAGACAAATATAAATGGTTAGGTACCCTGACTGACGAGGACTACAGACACTTAGTGGAGCTGCCGTATACAATCAGTTTACCATCGCTGCAGTCAATAGTGGTACACGCTTGTCTGGTTCCCGGAATCCCACTTGTGTCTCAAGATGTTGCCCACTTAATGGTCATGCGGAATCTCATCAAGCAAAATGTGGGGGGGACATCTAGTAGTGGGGGTAATCCTCCGCGGTACATACCGTTTAAGTTGCCGATCCGGGGCGAACCCTGGGCCAGTCTGTGGCCGGGACCAGACCATGTGTACTTCGGCCACGACGCAGTCAGGGGACTGCAGCGTTATGAATATGCAACAGGCCTGGATACCGGCTGCGTCTATGGCCGACGGCTAACAGGTATCTTCCTGACAGGAGAGAAACAGCTGATACAAGTCCCAGCCAAGAAAACGTACTGTGGACCAGATGGGCCCCTTGTAGTAGACTGAAACAGTCTTGAAAAGATCTAACATTAAAACACTGTTTCTTGTCAAACTGTTTACTTGATGCATTTAGTTTAAATACCTTGCAATAACCATGGTGCCAATAAAATTAATAATAAAATTAGCTGATTGCAACTGTCGGGAAAAAACTTGTCCAAAGCACCCTTCTACGCACTAACACCATACCAAAAATAAAAATAATGTACCACCAAAAAAAATACTCTCTTAGCAGAAAAGGGTCCCCCGTTAAACTTTTATGCATTGTTTGTTGCTCATAAGTGGTACCGTCTAGTTCTTGCTCAGCGAAAAAAAGTAGTTTAAATTGAGCCCGAGACAGGTTTTTAATAAACTGGTGTTCAACAGTCAATGATTATATTGAAAGCTGGCTAATAATAATAAATTAACATTTGTATGACAGAGAAAGACTTCTAAAATTATTTTTAAAACTGGAATTGAAACCACATGGAGGGTAAAGCTGCTTGACAATATGTCCATACAATAGCAAAGACTTAACCAAACACCGAAACATACATAAATATGATTAGATTAAAACCCAGTTAATTAATAATGGGTCGACACTTAAAGCTTAAGAAATAACGGAAAGGTCATATAAAATTGCCGCATCTTTGATTTCACAATTTTAAATTTGGCATAGATTTTTCTTTTCTTAACCAATATTTGATTTGTATATATGCAGAGTCACCGAAGTTTTCATTGCACTCAGAAACAGCTTTGTGTATATCAATTAGTTTGTGTATTTAAACATGTATTTAAATAAAATTAATTGAAAAATTAATATCAAAGTGAACTATATTGATAATAAATTTGCAGTACAATAAACTTGGATTGATGAGTTCTCTTTGCTTTCTTGACGTTTGTTTGAATTGGCTACTTCTCCGTTAATGATCCGATATGAAAAGTTTCCAGCGGAGGCTCATCACGATTAACTTGGAATTCTTTTTGTTTTTTGACGACTGAATTTATATTAAAGATGTAGCCAAGAAATTTTCGGACATCCAGCGTAAGCATTTTTTAAAAAATGTTTTCTGCAAGGATAGTTGGTCAAATTAGCTGTGGAATATTGTTACCCTAATGGCTGATCCAGTAAGACCCGACCACTGCGCACGTGGGCAGCCGCTCCACCAGTGCCGCACTGCTTGGTCCAGCTGCGCGCATCATACGCGCGTGCACACATGTCCGACTTCTGGGCCCGCTTGTCGGGCACAAATCGCGGCTGTGATTGGTCATAAATAACACAATGGGGCAGGGCTTCCGGTTCGTAAGTGTGATGTCATTTCATTTAAACCACGCCCATTGCGCATGCGCTGCACAAAGAGTTACGTACGTGCATTGATCACCCTTTACATGGAACCATGCAATTTCAGCGATTGTCCAATGGGAGTGCGTCTGCCTTTGTGACGAAGTCACTCCTGAACTGGATTGGGCAAAGGGCCGGACATTTTCATAAGCGTGACAAAAAGTAGACTTTTCATTACCCCTCCCCCGGTTGTACATCAGCGGGCAAAAAGTATTATGGATGGAGGGTTTTTATTTAATTTTGATTAGACTTGGTGTCGAAACGGGGGACCCCCCCGTACCTCCATCACAAACTTTTCAATCATCCGGCAATGACCACGCCCCTATGGGAGCACTCCACCAAATGGTTGTATTTCTGCGCGCGAGCTCATTAATATTTTGTGATCCCACGAAGTTTTTACAATAAGACATGCCATAATCAGGAGGCATCATAGAACTATTTCTATAAATCCCGACTTTGGGACTGATAGTTTCCAGTTCTCTTCCACAAAAGCCCTAGGCCTATTTTGGATAGAGGCGAGCGGCTACATTCAGATTTTGCAGTGTTTTCTTTGGGCACGTATTTGCTGTAGTGCATGCAACCAGAAAAGACAAGATGGCGGCGCTCTTGACAACAGACCAAAAGGGGGCGCCCTGTTCTTTTTTTCGCGCTTTTTTATTGACGGGCGGAGAAATGAGCAGTTTTGTCTTGGGATGTTGTCAAAACAGTTACGATTATAGCCAATGATCGGAGGAATGTACACCGTGTCTCTCGGAGGGGCTTATTGACTATAATGTCCTATAATAACTGGAAAAGGGCCTGAAATTCCCCCAGTTTTTTCTTCCCCGAAAAAACTGTCCCGGACTCCGGGGAAACAGAAATTAGGAAGGTAATTCAATCAACAATTCCGTCTGCTCGTCCTCTTTCTGGTAGTTTTTCTTTTCTGTGTCCCGCAGTTTTGCAAAAGATGTTTGATTTCTCCGTTTGTTCAAGATTGTCATTGCGCACAAAACAGTGCTGCATTCTGTGGCAACAGACAAACTGTATTATCCTTCTTCAGAAAAACAAGGAAACGTATTCAGTTTTTCAGATTGGTTTAGATAGGATGGATTTTCTTCGATTTGATCCATTTTTACTGCAAAACCGGCCCCCGAGGTGATATTTAAGGGTGCATACCACCAAATGAATTTATTTCTGCACTCGAGCACATAAATATTTTGTGATCCCACGAGGTTTTCACAATAAGACATGCCATAATCAGGAGGCATCATAGAAATATTTCTATAAATCCCGAATTTACGACTTATAGTTTCCAGTTCGATGTATTTCGTTCACAAAAAGCCCCAAATTGCGGGCCTATTTTAGATAGAGGCGGGCGGCTACATTCAGAGATGAGCGCTTAGTTTTACTGCTATTTTGGGAGTATCTTCCCTGAAAGGCGAATAACAAAATTTTTTGCGGCTAACCCCCATGAAATTGAAACGAAAAGTGATCCATTATCTTGAATTTCAAGTAAAAAACGGAGGCCAACCTCTTCACGAGCGTCAACAGGCGGCGCTATTTCGGTCCGATTTTGCACTGCTTTCTATGGGCGCGAAATTGGTGTAGTATGGTGTAATATTTACGACAAACATTTCTCTCTCTCTCTCTCTCTTGCCTCCTTCCAGGCGACGCAACCAGACGACGCGACGGCACAACGGCTCCCTTGCGTCGTGCCATCGGGTCGAACCGTTGCCATTACATTTGTACAAACACGACGTGTCGCGTCGTGCCCGGCGTCGCCCGTCGCGTCGTACGTCGTGTTGTGCGTCGCGTCGCCTATTACGTCACCTGAAGCACGACGCGACGCACGACACGACGCTCGACGCGACGCGTCGCGTGCTGTCGCACTTGTTTCTTGGTGTTGATAGAGGGCGCCTTTACTGATTTTTTTCATTTCCGCCCCGTCCACTAATTCAAGCCCCATTGAAAACAGTGTAAAATCGGCACTGTTCAAGGCCAATAACATGCTCACAAACATCCTTGAGATTGCTGAAACACAAATAAAATTATTGCCCGGTCCGGTTCAATTTATTGTGGGCTAACCAATTACATTTTAAATTATTCCCACAAAACAAAATAACTCCCCAAAAATTATTTTTATAAAGTCTGATTGCAGCCATTTTTCAAGTGGCAACCCTCAACCTTCTTGGGCACTTAGGACCATTTTTCACTATCCTATTTTTCATAGGATAGCTCAAAGACCCACGCAGTTGATTCTGGCAACGATTTACAAAACCTCACCGTTTCGGAGGCCAAAAAATCTCCTTTTTTCAGAAAAATGCTGGGCTTCTACTTTAATGCTAATGAGCTGAGCAGAAATTCTTACTTGAATAGTGGACTGCATGCACCCTAGACATTTTTTTTTTGGTATTTGCTCTTTCCACTGCAAACTCTACAGCTACTTGCCAAGTCAAGACAAGCCAAGTCGTCCCCAACTTCAGCAATAGATCGTCTTCAATCTAGGCCCTTTATTTATTTTCATTGCAAATTCATAAGGTTTTTTGTTAAATAGAATCCCCGTTTTTTCTCATTATTAAAAAGATGCTTTCTCTAACGTGAGGGTATTTGTATTTTCGTAAATCGTGCGAAAACCTTTCACTATATTAGCCGGAAACGAATTTATTCTCACTAGTTAGCTGATAATAAAAGGAGTAAACTGGTAAACAAATAAATAATGTAAGCAGGTGTCATAATTCTCATATTATGTCCGCTACAATATTTCTAAATTTATTCTGAGATGCAATACATCAATCATTATATTGTGCTTCCTAATGTAAGATGCGGATCAGAGGAGAAATTATACATGTGTGTGGCCAAACAGAGTCGGAAAAAAAGACACGGCCACAATGATATTAGCGTCTGTTTAATGTTTTATTCAGAAACACGGACTACTATCATTGAAAATGTGGTGCTGATGAAGGTAACGAGGAAGACTGACCTGAAGGAAGCTTAAGACTAAGGCGGAATATTCCGAGGGTTTTATAGAGCAGGCTCGGTGGCAACTTCCTAAACCCGTGGTCAAATTTGCGGTCATACAATTGTAGACAAATTTCCTGGGGAATTGGGAGTACTACTTATTAGAAATTACCGGGATGGACCACGGAGAAATACCGGTACCTATAAGATTACAAATCTACCACAATGGGGACTGCATCGACGGTATTAAAAAGAAATCATTGGCTGGGTTTAAAGAGTGACGAATTCTGGGCTTCCGCATATTATGAGAGAGCAGTTCCTACATATGCCGATTGTCTTCTTGCTCTTTTTTTTCTTTTTTAATAAAATATGACAGAAATTTATCTTAATCGAGGGATGGATGAGATAAAAACAAATCAACACCAAAGAGTAAATAGCATGTACTTTGCAAGCACGGGGGACAGAAATGAAAGAAAACAGTAAAAGCGCCCTCTATAAACACCATGAAGCAAAGGGCGACAGCACACGACGCGTCGCGTCGTGCGTCGTGTCGTGCGTCGCGTCGTGCTTCAGGCGACGTAATAGGCGACGCGACGCGATGCACGACACGACGTACGACGGTACGACGCGACGGGCGACGGAAGGGGCGACATTAAGGCAGGAAAAAAATGAAACATGGAAAATACCTGAGACGCAAGGGAGCCGTCGCGTCGTCTGGTTGCATCGCCTGGAGGGAGGCACGAGAGAGAAAAATGTTTGTCGTAAATAGTACACCATAGTAGTGCAACCTGTGTCCTTCCGCGGCCCCTGCTTTTTGTTAACCTGAAGAGGGCGCCCTTTCCATTGGTAATTATAAACAACATGGCGGCAGATTACATGCGGCAGAAACTGACTTCATTTTCGGAGGCAGTTTTTCCCGGTAGGGCGTTGCGAGACAACCGCCAACATCACGCCATAAGACCGGGTAACTCTTGTAGTTATTTCTGAACATTTTTTGTGTGTTTGTATCCTTCACAGAGGGGATACATAACGTAGATATTAGGAAGAAGTGTACCTGCAAAACGTTAATCTGTTTCCATTTTATTTCACAGGGCCTACCTACTCCAATAAACTTTTTCGACGTTCGCAGTGCATTATGCGTTCGGATGACATACAGTACATGCAAATGCAATGCATTGTGCACAACCCTATTTGCAGTATACCTGCAAAACGTTTATCTGTTTCCATTTTATTTAATAGGGCCTACCTACTCAAATAAACCTTTTCGAAGTTCACAATGCATTATGTGTTTGGATGGCATACATGCAATGCATTGTATGCACAACCCTATGAGAGCAGTGTACCTGCAAAATGTTAATCTCTTTCTATTTTATTTCATACTCCAATTCAAGCCACCCCCTTCTGACAAAGTGTTGGATTATTGATTTGGGATGAAGATCTTCACAAACTTCAAAGTTTAAAGCTTAGCAGAGAAGGAAAATTCGAGAATTCTTTCCAACAACACCACTTTCTGTCACGGACCGTGCTTTGACTAATTTGTGAATATTAATGTTCTAGTATTGTCCAATCAAAATCATAACTTGCAGCTCATTCATCCCGTGTTGACCAGTCACATTCATTTTCAGCCTGTAGAGTGACTGGTGCCCTTAAAAAAGACAATTAAATTAAGGGTGATTTCTTCTTCTTACAAATATTTGAAAACTTCAAAGAGAGTTGATGAGCAGATATATAAATATTTGGTGGAAAACTGCAAATTGACTTCTGACTGATTCACTTCTCCCGTAGCGTTGTGCATAAAAATGCATCGCTTGTTTGTCATCCAAACCCATAATGCATTGCAAACGCCGAAAAGGTTTATTGTCACGATTGTGCAAGGTTACATGCCTAAAATTCTCATTATCTGACATGTTTGAAGAGTGTCACCCCAGTCTTTCAATGTTTAGTAACCCTGATAGTAAAGGGCGT